AGATCTTCATGTCTTCTAAATAGAGGGAATGTCCTCTTAGTGCAGAAAAATGGTGATAGGAGGAGCGAGGCCTGCAGCTCAACACCAAAAGAGAAAACCAGCTTCAGGATGGGATTCTGCAGGGGCACAAGGACACTGCCTGCAGGAGCTCCAGGCTATGTGCTGGGAAAAGTTTCCTTCCTGAAGGAAATATCAGCCCGAGGCCTCCAGAAATACCATCATCAGTTCTCCAGGGACCGTGTAAAGGGCCTATGCATTACAAGCAAATTACCAAGAAAAGCAAAGGAAAGAAAAGAGAAGCCTGAAGGAATAGTACATGGGCTTATGAACCCACCTTGCAAGTATAGGGAGCTGAGTTCAATCCCTGATGTCCTACATGCACCTGGCATGATCCAGGTGGCTCTGCTGTCTGCCAGCCCTGGCTCTGCAAGGGATGTCCATCTGAACCTCAGCAGGCGTGTGTCAGCATTGTAAAAGAAGACATGGCTCAGATAAGCACAGCAACTAAAGAACAATAAATATCACTCAAGGAAGTGTGAACCCCCAGCAATAAGCACAGCTGTGACCCCCGCCCCGGGAATACTACAACCACAATGTATGCCTCAGTGACGAGTGCAAACCTGTGTGCAGGCACCACAAATGCAGCAAGTGCAGTGCTGAGTGTGCAAGCACCGAAGTGCTGTTCCCAGGAAGCACCATGGCCAGGCGGGATACAGTCCCTGCCACAGCAACAACATTGACAATGATGGGGAGGGGAGAGAATAAAGTAGTAAATAAAGAAAAAAATTAAAACCCAAGAAGACCAACAGGCACAATCATGGCCTGAATATCAGAACAGAATTCTAGAGAAAGTAACTAGAATATACTTATAGGAGGCTCATGATGACAGGAAACATAGTGGGGACTATATAAATATGGTTCTGAAAAATGAATTTTTAAAACATTCACTTAAAGGAATTTAATCAGTACTTAATCTGTTCATCAGAGAGAGAGAGAGAGAGAGAGAGAGAGAGAGAATTACAGGCTGATATCCTTGATGAAAGCCGATGCAGATCCTCAACAAAATACTAGCAAATAGTATCCAACAATTCATCCAAAATCCATATACCATGACCAAGTAGTATTCATCCCAGGGATGTGAGGATGGTTTAACATAAGCAAGTTAATACACAATATCAATAAAAGAAAAAATAAAATCATATGATCATGTCAATAGATTCAGAGAAAGTATTTGGGAAGATACAGCACCCATTCATGATAAAATTTTTAAACAAAATGGGAATTGAATTCCTCAATATAGTCAAAGCCATTTACCACAAGCCCACAGAAAACATTATACTCAATGGGAAAAACTAAAAGCCCCTTCCTCTAAGATCAGACAAGCCTTTCATGTCTCACCACTTTTATTCAATATAGAACTGGAAGTACTTGCCACAGCAACTAGGCAAGAAAAAGATATCAAAGGCATCCAGATAGGAAAGGAAGAAGTCAAGTTCTCACTGTTTTTGGATGACATGATACTATATTTAGAAAATCCTAAAGACTATACAAAAAAACCCCTAGAAACAATAGATTTATATAGTAAAGTGATACGAAATGAAATTAATATTGTGCCTTAGAAAACAAATAACTTGGAATCAGTTTAACTCAAAAAGGTAAAAGACCTATACAAAGAAAACTATAAAAAAGAACTATTTCAGAAATAAAAGAGGACATGATGAAATGGAAACACATCTCCTGCTCAATGATGTTTAAGAATTAATATCATTAAAATGGCAATACTTCCCAAAGCATTGTACAGATTCAATGCAGTCTCTATATAAGGAAACCCATGACATTTTCCAAAGAAATAAATCAAATACTCCTGAAATTCATATAGAACAATAACATTGCCCTCCCTCCCCACCCTACCCCCAATAGCTAATGCAATTCTTAGGAAAAAGAAGATGATGTGAAGTATCACTTTCCCTAACTTCAACTGGACTAAAAAGTGGTAGTAATTAAAACAACCTGGTATTGGAATAAAGACAAACCCTCAGATCAATGGAATAGAGTTTTATACCTTGAGACAGGCTTTCAGGTATATGATCAGTTAACCTTTGACAAAGGACTAAAAAATAAGAAGTGGAACAAGGAAAGTTTCTTCAATAAGTGGTGCTTGGAAAACTGGCAAGTCACATGTGAAAAAAAAAAAAACTCAGACCTCTTTCTAATGCCATGCATAAAAGTCAAAGCAAAATAGATTAAAGGCCTTGATCTCAGAGGTACATAGAGGAAAACGTAAGCAGAACTCTCCATGATATTGAAGCAAAAGGCATCTTCAAGGATAAAACAACACTGGCCAAATAAGTTGAAGCAAAGATAAACAAATGGGACTACATTAAACTAAGAAGCTTCTGCACTTCAAAGGAAATGATAACCAGGATTAAAGGACAGCCTACAGAATGGAAGAAATTATTTACCTAACACCCATCTGATAAGGGGTTAATATCCAAGATATATAAAGCACTGGAAGAACTTTACAGGAAAAGAAAAAAAATCAACCCCAGCAAAAATGTGAGAAGAGACAAACAGAAATTTCTTTGAAGAAGAAATACAAATTGTCAAAATGCACATAAAAAATCCTCCACACCATTAATCATTAGGGAGATGCAAATAAAAATAACAATGAGATATTATCTCACACCACAGAGACTGGCATACATTCAAAAGAACAACCAGTGCTGGTGCAGGTGCAGGAAGATAGGACTCTCATTCACTGCTGGTGGGAGCGTTGACTGGCCAAACCTTTTTGGAAAACATATGAACATTCTTTTAAAAATTGAATATTGAACTTTCACACTACCCAGCAATACTCTCCTGGGTATATGCCCTGGGGGACAACAAAACACAATGCAGAAAAGTCATCTGCATTTCTCCTATGTTCATTGCAGCACTATTCACAATGGCCAGAATCTGGAAACAACTCAAGTGCCTGAGAAAAGATGAGTGGATAAAGAAACTATGGTACATCTACACAATGGAATACTATACAGTCATTAGGGGAAAATGCTTTGTTTACACATGTATGGGCATGGGAATATCATGATGAGGGAAATGAGTCAGAGGAGAGACACAGACATAGAAATCTTGCATTCGTTTGTGGGATTAAAAAATAAAGATAGTATGAGAGTCATACCCCAAGACAATAGAAACAAGGACCAGGAGAGGAGAGGAAAGAGAAATAGAGAGAGGAGGAGAGAGAGAGAAGAGAGAGAGAGAATCTCAGTATCTCCCAAAGAGGCAGGGTGGGTGGGAAGAGTGGGGAACTAGGGACACTGGTGGTAGGAAATACAGCGAAGCATGGATGTTGGAATACCGTATGGCTGAAACTCAGTCATGAACAACTTTGTAACTGTGTATCTGATGGTGATTCAATTAAAATATATTTTAAAGATTAGTGACAACTGCACTGTAAAGGTGATTTGATGTGAATAAACCTGCAGAATGTCACTGGTCTGATGTTAGATTAAGTGGAGAAGTTAGAATGAAGTCCTTCATTGAAATCTTTGAGCATGTGTGGATGTGAGTGTGTAAGAAAAGAAACAATTTAAAATACTATTAGACTGGACAACCGCTGTTATCTCCAAACTGAATTGAACTGAAGAAATAGGATGCCTCATAATTTAAGTGTGCAAAAGAGTATGATAATGACGCTAAATTTCAAGGCAGGTAGCAAGGCTCAGATGCACTGAGACAGAGTCCAGAGAGAGAGAGAGAGAGAGAGAGAGAGAGAGAGAGAGAGAGAGAGGAAGTGCACAGAACTGAAAGGCAACAAGGTCTACTTCCAAATGAAGAAAGTTAATGAGTCACACATACACATACAGAGAGAGCCTCCAGGAACCAAATATGTTAGCAGCCACATGGGAACCTGCAAGATTATTTTCTCTGCCCCTGATACATTTCCCCTGATTTGTCTCTTCCTTATAGAAACATTATTTATGAAGACAAAACTGCGCTTTCTGCAGACTTTTGCAGATTGCATTCAAATAAAATTATATTGTTTTCCATTGTTCATAAGATATAATTAATCCCATAAGTCAACTTTGCTTACAAAGTAAACTAAGAAAAAACAGATTCCACCCCCCTACCCCCACCCCACCACAGTTCTAAATATAGTGGGAGCAAAGAAGAAAAACTGTTGTTTGGGAAACAATGTTTAGAACTTCATTATTCAGAATGTGCTCCTTTGAGTCACAGCACGTGCTCAGGCCAAATCAAAGTACACAAAAAAGACACCAAGTCATTCTACCTGCATAACTAGAAGAAATGCAAGTTGTCGCCTTCAAGCTCTCTCCCATTCCCTTTAAAAGCCTAGGACCCCAACACACCTTAGTTTTAAATCTGAGCCAAGACAGGAGTTCAACACAGGAAGAAAGGGGGGGAAATTAACCCGTTGGGCGCTCCTTTCCGAGAACACGGCCCCTGCGTGGAAGGGGATGGAAACAGCGGCGGCTGTACAGCCTCCCAGGGCGCGTGGGCTGGAGCGCGCGTGGGCAAAGGGGCGCGCCCAGGCCGTTCTTCAGACTGCACAGAAAAGGGCTCGGCTCCGGACAACTCTCAGCAAGACGCCACCGACCCGGACTTCTCTGCACAGTTGCAGTTCTCAGGAATCCAGACAGCGCGATCGCACCCCAACTCCCAGTTCTCTGAGCTCCAAGACAAAAGCCCTCCACCTCCACTGGGTCTGGAACAGAGATCCTTTGGGGGAACAGGCAAATACCCCCGGGACCTTCCGGGCTGCAGAAACCGGGAAGCTGTCTTCCCTTCTCAGCCTGGGGCAGCGAGGAACCCAGTTAAGCCCTCGCCAGCCGGGGGTGGTGGAAGAGAGAGAGAGGGAGAGAGGCGAGACAGAGGGAGGGAGCGACCGCTAGGCGAGAGGGCGCCGGCTCGGCGCTCTCGCAGGCCACCCGGACCCGGGCGCTCGGGACCGGCACCCCTTGGCCCGCCGAGCGCTTTACCTGATCTTCCGAGCGCTTCTCCGAGCCACACGGCGCCGGGGCTGCCGGCCAGGAGGGGCAAGAGCCGGAGCCAGACGCGTCGGATTAATTCCATCTCACCACGGGCGCCCGCAAAGTTTCTGCAAGTCCCGGGTGCGCGGGCAAAGGGCGTCTCCCGGGGGGGACGTGGGGTAGGGTGGAGACACCCGGGGGGACCCCTGCCCGGGATGGAGGGCGGGATGCGGAGGGCCCCGGAGCTCGCGCGGTGCAGGAGTCCGAGGAGGTGGAACAGCTGCGGGGAGTGGAGCCCGCCGCTAGCAGCAGGGTTTTTTTCCTTTTGCTGGGGGGCGGGCCGACGGGGAGGGACCCGAGGAGGGAGGGAGGCTCAACCGGACCGGGGATGGAATTACAATCGGGTGCAAGTGAGAGGGGGCAGACCCGGAGACAATTTACTCTTCGCCTTTTTCCGGGCACACAGCCCGCCCCTCACTCCTGCTAACGACCCCCGGCTGCGTCCTTCTCTTGAGGACGACCTAGTTGGGCGGGGGTGAGGACAGGGACGAGGGAGGAAGAGATATGCTGGGGAGGAGGGGGGCGGGTGGCTTCAATCCCCAGGAGTTAGGTGATGGCAAGTCCCGAACCTTGGATAGTGGGACCCTGAAATCTTGCAGCGCCCCTGTATATACCCTCCTACAGCCGTCCGAACCCCCTCTAGATGGCTGCCACCTAGCTGAGAGATGGAGGCATCTCCCCCAGCACCCCCAAAGCTTGCAACACCAAAGGTTAGTCTAGCACACTTGAGGGAAATCGTGACCAGAGGGGTGGGAGGGCCGGATTTGCAAGTGGGGGAGGGCGAGAAGAGTCAGCCGGTCGGCCGAAGCTGGGGTGCTAAGAGGATCATTGGGATTTAAGGTGCGCAGATGGGGAGCTGAGAGGTGGCCACTCAGGTGCTCCTGCCCAGGGGAGATTAGGGCTGGGCGCGAAGGAGGCCCCCAGCCCAATCCCAGGCAACTCGAGACCCTTGAGGGGTCGAGAGGAAACTCTAGGTTGATCCGGCAGGCATATGTGACCTCAAACTTTACCCGGACCCCCAGCCTGGAGGCGCAGAGGACCCCACTGGCTGGGGGAGTGAGGGAGGGTCCTAAACACAGATACTGGTTCCCAGAAAACGGTCCCCCAGCCCAGGAAAGGACCGTCTCGGCCTCGGGAATTTGCTGCTGGAGAGAACTTGGTTAAAAGGTTCCTTTCCGCCCGGTTTCCCGCTGGCCCTGGCCTTTAGTCTCCTTGCGTACATATTATCGTGCTGATCTTAAAGCTGGCGGGGAGAGCAGATAGAATAAATAAACCTGGGGAGAAACAGCCCTCCAATGACTGGGGAAAGATCAAAGGCACTAGGAAGTGCCCAGCAGATAGAGGCGGCGGGGTGCAAGATTTGAGAGGTCCCCACCTCTCATAACTGGGGCTCAGTGAAAGTCTTAGCGTTTCTCTTTAAGTTTGGAAAGAGACTTGCATGGGAGGAGTGATAATACCCCTCCCCACCCCCACCCCCAAAGATTCCTACTCCTCTTTTAGGATTTAATTACCCCCCTGCTGGAGCCCAATCTAGTTAGTAAAGCTTAGAAGGAGCAAGCCCACTACCTGTGGAGGAGCTGTATGACCAAAGCTTGTCCTTGCACATGAAATTTGGGCAGAAAAGTCTGGACAAAAGGCCCTGTTCTTGCCAAGATCCTGGAAACCAGGTAAGAAACCTGCCCAGGGTTGTTTGCTGGTCTCCAAGTGCCAGAATGTGAGCCCTGAGGATGATCAGTGTTCCTGGAGTCTACCTCCACCGCAAGGAGCCATCTGCTTGTTCTGTCCCTGCCTCTCTTGCTTCTGGCCTTCTCCTGTGACAGAACCCCGACTTCCCCACCTTCCCAGGCAGCAATCTGTGTGGGACAGATTTTCCTTCTATCAGACCTAAGCAAAGGCATGAGGACCGAGCTAGGGTTGCCATGGAGATACATCCCCAGTGGGTCCCACCTAAAAATGGCTCCCCAGAACTTGGGAGGAATACTATTACTATTATTCACTGGTGTGTGCATAACACCTTTGACCTACCTACCCTTCTTGGAAGTGCTTTGTAATCTCAGGAATGACCACACCACAGAAGTCTTGGTATATGGTATTGGTATCCTCCCTTCCTCCACAGATGAAGAAATCAACACACAGAAATGTGAAGTCTTGCTCAAAGTTTTTTTTATTTTTATTTATTTACTTTTGTTTTGGGGGGTCACATCTGGCGATGCACAGGAGTTACTCCTGGCTCAGCACTCAGGAATTAACCCTGGCTGTGCTCAGGGGACCTAATGGATGCTGGGAATCGAACCTAGGTCGGCCGCATGCAAGGCAAAAGCCCTACCCACTGTGATATTGCTCCATCCCCAATTGCTCAAAGTTTTAAAAGGTCCCAAGAAGCAAAGCCTTGCTGAAACTCAAGGTGCCAGTGGGAGAAGAGTGCAGCCTTTGAAGGCGCAAAGCAGAGCAAGCAAGGGACAGGAATCCTAAGGTCTGGGTGTTGCAGCTTTGGATGTCTTGGTAAAATGAAGGAGCTGGATGAAATCATCATTGAATTTCAGGTTTTGTTTCCCCTAAGTATCTAATAAAATGAAACCAGCTAATCCAAATAAACCATAGCTGCTCTGATGGTGATTTTAAAAATATGGTGCAAATTGTTGCAAATTTTGCAATCCTCCATTTTCTATGTGACCACACCACATAAGTCTTGGTATTGGTATCCTCCCTTCTTCCACGTGCCTACTCATCCCGGACCCTCACTCTCTCCTCCTTTGCCGATGACAATTGGTGATTTGGGTCTTCAGAGACTTCTCTTGCTTCTCCCTTATTGGGATCACCTCTGAATATGTTGTTCTGATTTACCTCAGAGGGTATCCAAATGCCCTCTGAATCCTCCCTTGGGGCCCTTGAGATAAGTCCTAGCTTCTTTATTTGAGGTGGAGGTGGGGAGGGACCACATCCTGTGATGCTCTGGAGTTACTTCTGGCTCTGTACTTAGGAATCACTCCTGGCAGTGCTAGGGACCTTACGGGATGCTGGGGATCGAACCGAGAGAACCAAGCAAGGCAAGTGCTCTCCGGGCTGAGCTATCCTCCCTTTCAGTCATTGCTTTTTGAAATTTACTTATTAAAAATCTAGGATGGGAGTTGAACTGAGCTCATTCTCTCCCTTTGCTAGTCAAGTCACATCCCCAAGTTTCCCTCTCTCTCCAGTTTGACAACCAGTTTATGAAACTTGTAAATCTGACTAAAGAAAAATGGAACACTTGCCTTTCACGCTCTTCCTGCCTTTGGGGAGGAGGAGAACTGAAGAGGGCAAAGAGGCATTGAATGTTTCATTTAAAGAAATCTGTTCAAAATCACTTGAGGTCTAAACTCAATTAATAAGGTCAGTAGCCATACAATGACCCGCCTGCTTTGCCAATATCATGGAAGAAGAGTCTGACCTCTGCCCCAGGAAATGGATTTGGAGTGGTTAGAAGTAAAGACAAATTTACCTATTATAAGGTGTATAGAAAGTCCCTACAAGAGAGGAAGAAAAAGACAGCAACAAAGAATCAGCTATAGATGTATTTTTGGAATAGGTGACACGTACATACAAAATTGGAAATGCACACTAGAACGTCCAGAGAAAAATGTTTCTTTTTCACCTTTCTTCTCTCAGAAGCAATCATTATTATACATTTCTTATGCATTCTTTTTAAGTATGTTTTGTAGTTTTGGGGTCATACCCTGAGATGCTGAGGGGTTATTCCTGGCCCTGAACTCAGAAATTACTCTGGTGGTGCTCAGAGGACCGTATGAGATGCTAGGGATCAAACCCGGGTTGGGCGCAAGCAAAGCAAATTTCTTACCTGCTATATTATTTCTCCGGTCCCCATTTCTTATATATTCTTCTAAAAGTAATCCGGAATCATAAAAACCGATTTATATGCATATATTTAAAACAAATAGAAGCTTCTTGTACATGCTTCCAGCCTGAAAACCTTCCCAAATCAGCTGGTGCAGATAAGCCTCCCTCTTACTAACCACTGAATAATATCTTACTACATATGACTACATATTCTTTCTTTGATTATTTACAACTTCATTCTTACAGACAGACAACACTGTAATAAATGAATGACCTTATATGTATAATCACTTGTGTGTGATTGTAATAGACTGTAAGGTACATTTCCTAGATTAGCCATTGCACAGTAAAAAATTAAATTACTTTTCACTTTGTTGGGTCTTTTTTCTTGTTTTTATTGTTATGGGGGTCACTCCTGGCAGTGCTCAGAGACCACCAGAAATACTCCCCTCTTGTGCTAGGCCATGACAGTGTACCAGGTTTTGAATCCAGGACCTCACACAGGCAAGACATATACTCTACCACTTGAGCTGCCTCTGTGGATCCTATAATACAACTTTTGATACCCAATATATAATCAAAGTATCCAAATGAGAAGTGTACCACAGCAAAGTACACTGTATAACACCACTCAGATCAAGAACTAGAACCTTACCCATTCCACTCATCATCCTTCCTCATGTTTCCTCCTAGATGGATATATTTTTTGAAGAACAAGTTCAGTTCAAACCTAGTCACTTTTAAAATACAGAGCAGAAATAGATGAGTGAAGAATATAACTTGTAGTCACTCCCAATATGAAAGAAACATTAGCTCAGATTTCATCCCATCATGTATAAATACTACAGAGAACAAAACGACTATAGAAAACAAAAATACACTGATTCTCTACAGTGAAGACTGCAGTTTTGTTGAGAGAAAGAAGTTGCATGGCCACCAGTTTTAGAAGGCAGAACAAAGAAAGCAACATGCTGTTGCATCAAGAGAAAGAATTTGCATGAAAATAATAATATATGTAGTGTGCTATAAACTATAGCCAATAAAGTCGCAAATGTTTTAACCATGTTATATATGTACCCACACACATATATAGTTATATATCACTTGGTCACTTGACATCCTGTTACTCATCAATTTGCTCGAGCAGGTGCCAGTAACGAATCCATTTGTCCCTGTTGCATGCTAGTGTAGCCCAATGGCATCCACTCACTCCAGGAAAACAAAGAGCCTCAAACCATTTGTTCAGGGTCTTGATGAAGAAGTCTAATTATCTCGTAGGTGGGCGGCCATGCAATCTTTTGACATCCAGTGGAATCCAGTCAGTAATGGCTCTCCAGAGGTCATCTTCAAATCACATTACAT